ACATATAGCAACTGCATAAAACTTCACACTCTCCATGATCAAATGCCACAACAAGTGTTTTTTTAACTATTATTCCATCGCGTTGAACATCCTCGACTATTTTGTATTCAGATCCAAAAGAAACCTAAATACTGGATTTAATATTGCAGTACATCTTGTGAGTCAATTCTTTCTGAAACTCTTTAAATTTATCCTTAGTGTATGCAACTTGAAATTGTCTCTCCATTTCATATACGCTTACGCATGTTACAGTTTGTGAATAAGAACGGTAATCTGCTTCAAACTTTTTTTCCACCTTACTTCGCAAAGCAAACTCATACTGCTCAACGAATTGTTTTAAATGAATTCATACTCTCACTCCGTGGAGATATCCATCAAAATATGTATTCATACTCTCACTCCGTTGTGTCGATGACATTCCTGCCCAAAAATGCATATTTAGAAAACATGGAACCCAACGAGATCTTTCTACATATAATCTTGTCAATCATTCATTTGATTCTAACTTATAATCGATAATCATCGAAGACCACACTTGTTCAAATTCTTGAGTTGTTTGGGACTCGTAAACTACTAATCGAATAGATGAAAAAAGTGTATCTTTACAGCTATGATATCTAAGCTTTTGAGGCAATTTTTTAGTATATGCCAGAGGCACCACCCGTGCCTAGTTTCTGGGAATACAATTGCAAATGCATTTTGCATCGCCCTATCCTGATCAGTTATAATACCAAGCGAATGTTGATGTTCCATGTATCTAGCCAAACTTTGATTAACCAAATAAAAGTATATGTATCCTCACTAGAAAGAAGAGCTAGCACAACCAAGGAGCATTGATTGGCCGTGATGATTAATTCCCACAAATGGAGCGAAAGACATATCGTACCTGTTTGTCAAAGAGGTTGTATCAAATGAGACAACATCTCCAAACTCTTTATAAGTTTGTCAACATCTTTTGTCAGCCCAAAAGACATTCTGTAATCTATAATCCTCGTCATTGTCTATGCAATAAAAGAAACCTGACCTTTGGTTAGTCATATTTGAGAAATAAACTTGGATACCAAATGCATCTCCCTCTCCTTACCTCAACCTCCGAACTTTATCCATATAGTTGCGACAATTTTTTTCAACAAATTTCATGTTCTCGTATCCCTCACTCCTGACAACATGAGAGTGAAAACTTTTATGGATTGTTATTCCTGTAATGTCATTGAGGTGCAAATCCCTTTTCGCTGATTCATTAATCTCTCGATTGCATCGGAACATTTTGACTTTGTAAGGGTTGTTGGATGATTATGTTGTAGCTCAACAGCTATGATGCTCCAAAGTCCATTAGTATCTGTACTTGCCGTCAACTTAGCTTTGCAACATGTTTGACTTGTTGGGTGAGGACTAAGTGGATTACGTGCATTCCCAGATCTATTTCCTTCACGACTGTATGTATATGTCACGTTGTCAAGGTCCTCGCTATGGCCTTTTCTAGAGCTCCTCCTTCTAACAGGAAGTCCTACGCGATATGCATAAATTTTATAGAATCGATAATCCTCATCCACGGTGAAAAATTTCATCCCAATTATAGGAATATTCTTTGGTAAATTCTCATTATCCTCCACAACCTTGGCAGAACCATCCCCGATTCTAGAATCATTTGAGTTTACCATCTCCCCACCAAGCTCCATATTTATCCATGATTCTTAATTTTTTAGATCATCAATAAAACAAGCAAACATATGCAAAATCATCAGGACATTATTACAGAATATGCATTAATGCACATTTAACACAAGTAATTAAGAAATTCTCTCGTTGGAGAACCGTATTCTCTCGTTGGAGACTCCATTCTCTAGGTGAAGACTTGATTCTCTTGAAGAAGAGGTTATCTTGCTTGTTCGATTCGGTTTTTATAGCAGTTGTGTGTTGGTAGCTGGATTTGATTGAAGGGTGAATTTTCAATTAGGGCTCGACAATGGCCGATGATTTGGGGGACCAGTTTCAATCATTACAACTCTCATTCAAAGAGAGTCGCAATGTGGAATTGGACAATAAAGATGTGCGATTAAGTGAAGAAGAATGTCGTCGAAGTGTATTGGGTAAAATAATTGGGGATCGAAAAGCTAATATTTTTTTGGATTAAGCGCCTCATGGGGATGGTCTGGCAGACATCTATGGCTTTTGATGTCAAGGAGGTGGGAGCAAACTATTTTCAATTTATATTCGGCTGTAAGGAGGACAAGGAAAAGGTTTTGGCAGGGGTTAATTGGGTGTTTGAGAACCAATATTTGGTTCTGCAGGACTGGAGGGAAGGACTGGCAGTTCATGATCCTGGTTTCAATGAGATTTCTCTATGGGTGCAAGATCATAAGCTACCTCTAAATTGGCTAAGCACAGAGGTGGGGAGGAAAATTGGGTGTCTGTTCAAAAGAATAAAAAATGTTGTAGTGGTAAAATCAGGGGGAGTCCAAGGCAGTTATTTAAGGTTACTGGTTTCTTATGATGTCTCAGAGCCAATCCTTAGATGTGCTCATATCAAACTCGGATACCAAATATTGGGAGTAACTCTTCAGTATGAGAAATTGGTGAGATTTTGTTATTATTGCGGGATGGTGGGTCATGTGGAAAGGGCGTGTGGGATAAGGGCTAAGGATATTGAAGAAGGGAAGCAGGAAGAGAGTCAGTTTGGGGACTTGTTGAAAGCCATGGAAACTGGGAGGATGGGAGGTTCACTTCATAGCTCTAATCCTTCTCATACTAATAACAATCTGCAGAATCAAGGCGAGCATTCTAATTCAAACCAGATGAATGAAGCTAACACTGATAAGGAAATGAGGGGATCAAGAGAAGTACCAATTCCATATAGTCCTCCTAGAGACAAGTTGTGTGCAGCCTTGGTGTTTAATTCTGACATTAGCACTGATAATCTTATCCTCATAGTCTTGGGGAGAGATAGAGTTTGAGTTTATGGATTCAGCCAGTAGAAGTGGAAGATAGGGGGAGTGCTCAGATTCAAGAGCAATCTATGGAGAAGGTGAAGGCAGAAGATGGTCAGTTTTATGCCCTACCCAACCATGATATTGAGGGACATATAATGAAACCAAGTACCTCAACTTGGAAAAGGAGGAAACAAGCATCTGACGGGTTACAAAGATCTATGAAGATGCAAACTGGGGTGCAATGTACTGCTGCAGGTAAAAGGGAGAGGCAAGCAAACTCTCATGCTATAGTAGGAGGGGAAGAACAGTCTGAAATGTTGAAAAGGAAATCTAGAAAGGTTAAATCTAGTCAATCACAACAGGTGGGGGTAGCCGGCCTTGAATGGCGTCAAAGTGATAAATGAAGAAAATCTCATGGAACCATAGAGTTCTGGGATATAAACGCATGTTACATGCATGTTTACCTAATTGCAACAGATCATGTTTATTAAAAAAAAAATTGGATTGCATAGAAATCGAGCCCAATTTCAAATTGAAAATTAAAATTTAAAAATTTCTTATCATTTGGCTATTACTTTCTTTAGTTAAATTTTTCTTAAACATAAAATATAGTCAGAATATTAATTTTTCAATTCAAAATAAAATCGGATTTGAACATCCTAAATATTTGGGTTTTGCTTAATCCTCTAGAATACATATTTGAAATCGATTGCATACACCTACAAAATAAATAATGATTGCATGCATTTACAAAATATCATATATATCCTGCTAAATAATTAATTGATTTATTTAAGTCTATCTCGAATCCTAATATAATTTGTGGTGAATGACGATGTACCAAAAGACCAAACAAATAATATTGTGTACAAGGATGTGTTTAATAATATAAAAGTTACGTTTTGTTTATTCCAATACATGCATTTTACGTTCTTGCAATCATCCAAATCTAAATGTTAAGATTAATAAACTAGCCCGTGCATCGCACGGGCACCACTAGTAATAAAAGAAAGAGAGAGAAGTTACCGCACGTTTACAGTAAAACTGCCCATTAATAATAAACAGCTGTTAGATTTTAATTATGACATTTAAAAAATAATTAAAGGAATAAAAATTAGAAAAGTGGAATAATGACAAGACGCGTTACAATTACGGTTGAAAACGAAAACGAAATTTCCCGACCGAATCGCATCGTTTTCTACATTTGACCCGATCATTTTTTACTTTTTTTGGAATAATTCGAATTCGGTTCAAAATTCAAACAGAAAATTCGAAAACGGAGCGGAATTCGATATGGGCCTTTTTCGACCAATTTCTACATTTCTATATTATATTCGGTATGTAACCGTATTTAAATTTCGGAAGGTTTCGAATTTGGTCCAATATTCCCTTATTCCCTACAGGTCACATCACACATGGCCCAGTAGCCAACTTACAGCCCAGCCCAAGTTGACAACCCTAAGTGCTTGACACCCACCTCCACTCCCGTATTCCCTCCCTTGTCTTCTCCGTTCCTCTCTTCCTGGCGGCCGCCGCCAGTCCGTGAGGCGTCGAAGGACGGGTCTCGCTGACGACACGACTCCAGGGGCCAAGGCTCGCGCCGTGCCTGCCATTCTCCACCTCGCCGGTCGCCATTCCCCACCCCGCCGGTTGCCATTCCCCACCCCGCCAGCCACCGGTCGTCACTACCCACCCCGCGCGTCGATGGCGCCCGCTGGAGATCGTGCTTCCGCTCTTGGAACGAAGGGGGGCAAGGGAAGCAAGCCCAAGACGAAGAGTGTGCGTAGCCTTATAGAACCGCCGCCCGTACAGGCAGCAACGACGTCTCCAACAGCAGGTTCCTCTTCCTACCACTGAATTCATCAGGCTTATTCAGTTTCGTTTGTGCACTGCTATTCATCAGGCAAATGTAGACTATTTAGTTTCGTTTGTGTACTGCAATTCAGTCTCCACCCACTGCTATTTGGAGCACAAATTTAAATGCAATGTGTCTGTCTATATGAATAATAAATACACTGCTATTTGACTCGTGCATGCTTATCTGAATTCCTGACAAGGACACAAAAGCCCATGAACTGGTCCACCTTGGTGAGCGTATGCATGTCTGAATACAATACTGTAACAACTGTTACTTGACCTCAAAGTGGTGTGCATATTATCATATTAAATTTGCTTTCAAATGATCTTACGGGATGGAACACTAAAAAAACTAGTATTTGGAGTTATACATTTTAAACAAGTTTAATTTTAGTACTGGACTGCTTTAAGTGAGCTTACTAGGTTCCAAATTAATGTATGTGTCGCTATTTGCATGCCTATCTCATGCTGTTATGTTAGTAACCTGCACCCTACCAATAGATGTTAAGGTGATTTGTCGTCCGTGTATCTTTTTGCTAGATTATTTGGCTATTTTAGATTTTTTTTTCTAATTTAGCAATGTTTCACTTGGCTTTTGGTAGGATCGGGGAGTAGAAGGGAAGCATCTCAAAGTGTTGCATCTAGTGGAACTTGTGAAAGTCCAGCTATAGTAGCATCAGTGCTAGGATCAGTGGCAGCATCAGTTCAGAGTGATGCAACAGAGCAGGTTCAAGTGCCAATTAATGTCGACAATGATGAACAAGAGGATGATGAGCAGGCTCGCCTTTCTGGCAAGAGGTTTAAGAAATTAACATCGTGGGTCTGGAGTTGTTTCACCAAGAAAAAAGAGTATGTAGAGGTGGAAGGAAAGCTAGTTGAGGAGTTGTGGGGACACTGCAATTTCTCTAGGTGTGAGCAGAAATACAGAGCAGAGGGCATCAATGGCACAACTTCATTCAAGCACCATTTACTTTCAAAACACAGTATTGTGAAGGGACAACAACAGCTTAAAGTTGGTAAGAACCCTGGTTCTGAAATTGCTCATGTTTAGCCTTACAGATTTGACCAAGAAGCTAGCTTGAAGAAATTAAATTTGGCAATAATCATGCATGAATATCCTTTCAATATAGTTGAGCATGAGTATTTGGTTGATTTCATCAAATCTCTCCATCCTAGCTTTCCGATAAAATCCCGTGTCACTGTTAGGAAAGAAATAATGGACAGATATCTTGAAGAAAAGGAAACTTTATATGCATACTTGAAGACTATGAAGTGCCGCTTTAGTGCAACAATGGATATGTGGACCTCATGCCAAAACAAAGGGTACATGTGTGTTACTATTCATTGGATAGATGATAATTGGCATATGCAAAAGAGAATTATTGGTTTTTTTCAATGTAAAAGGTAGGCATACTGGTGCAAAGTTGTCTAAAACATTCACTGAAGTTATGGTTAAATGGTACATTGAAAATAGTCTGTTTGCTCTGACTTTGGATAATGCTAGTTCAAATGAAGTGGTTGTCAATGATATAATTTCAGATCTGAAAGACAATGGTAATGGTTCCCTAGTTTATGATGGGATATTTTTTCATGTAAGATGTGCATGCCATATTCTGAATTTGGTTGCTAGAGATGGGTTGAAAATCATTTCTGGAACACTCAGCAAGATCAAATCACTTGTATTAGCTGTGAAAGTGTCTCCATTGCAGTGGGCAGAGCTTATGAAGTGTGCCACTGAAGCTGGGTTGGATACAAAGAGGGGTATTCAAATGGATGTTTCAACAAGGTGGAACTCTACCTACCTAATGCTGCGAGATGTCTTGTACTACAAGGATGCATTTATTAGGCTGAAGTCTTCAGATCGCCGTAAGTATGCCAAGATTTCTCCATCTTCTGCTGAATGGGACAATGCATTAACAATTTATGGTTGCTTGAAGAAATTTTATGATCTCACTGAAATTCTCTCTGGCACTTCATACCCTACTGCAAACTTATTTTATAGAGGTTTCTGTGATATCAAGGTCTTGCTTGATGAGTGGTGCTATGATGAAAATATTACAATTAAAGAAATGACAATTTCTATGAAGTCAAAATTTGACAAATATTGGGATCAGTGCAGTATTGCTCTAACTGTAGCCTGTTTTCTTGACCCTATGTATAAGAAAAGGCTGATAGAATACTACATGAAGAAGTTCTATGGTGGTTATTATCAAGCTGAACTTGATGAGTTTGTTAGTGTGGTAAAAAAACTGTACAAGTTTTATGTTAATATTGCTGCATCATCAAAGAAAACTAGAGAAGGGGCTGCACCCAGACCTAGTAACACAACTGATATATTAATGGAAAATATAGACCATGGCTTAGAAGAATTCTTATATGAAGCAAGTGAACCTGGTATGGTTGAGTCAAATGAGTTGGACATGTATATTGGAGAACCACTACTGAAACTTAGTGGTGAGTTTGACATCTTAGCATGGTGGAAAAACAAGAGAGAGCAGTATCCTATCCTTTCACAAATTGTTCGGGATGTAATGGCCATACAAGTGTCAACAGTAACATCCGAGTCTACTATTAGTGCTGCTGGCCGTGTTGTTGATCCCTATCGCAGTCGGCTTGATCCCGAGATGGTACAGGCATTAATTTGCACAAAGGATTGGGTTGCTGCAGCAAGTAAAGGTGCTCATTTTACTTGTTTTTTTTTTTTAGTTTGGTACTTGTAATTGCAGCTGAATAATGCATTGAATTTTTGCTTTCTTATTTTTTTCAGATTCTAAAAAGCTTGGATCAATTGTGAGTGATCTTGAGGTTGACGCTTTAACTAATGTTGTGGCTAAACTGAAAATTGAGGTATGTTTATTGACTGTTTCCTCTGGTAGTATTGGAATTTGTTGTAATCTTCACTAGTTATGCCTAGCATATGTGTGGTAAAAAAATTGAGGATGCTGGCTCCTGTTGCAGTGAATTAAAATGTTCTAAGTGTTAGCCTTTGATTGGTCTACCTATTTTCTTTGTTATTCCAGAAGCATGTCGAGCTATTAATATCTTTTAATACTAGACCTGAGAACCTGGGTGAAAATTTTTATTATGTAGAATTCAATTTGACTTTATATTGGTGCTGAGGACAATTTTAATTAACTTTTACAAACTTGTAGGAAAATAACAAGGAGGGAGATGAGGACAATGAGGTGGACAATGAGGAAGCAAAGGACATGGAAAGTGATCCTGACATCATGGATGATGCTGATGAACTGTAGATGTTTGTGTCCTATTAATTGCTTCATTGCTTGTTCTAGACTTGTGAGTTATGATGATACTTAAGAGTTAATACCCTAGGTCATGCACCTGTTAACTACTATGTGCACTTGAACTAAATCATGCACTTGTTAGTTTGGTCATTCACATGTTTAAAGTTGTGCACCGTGGGTCGGTATTTCGTATTGAATTTTCGTACACCGGCCGTGTTCGACATAATTCCGCTCGAATTGATTCGTTTTTGAAATACCATAAGTTCGTTTTCATTTTCGTTTCCGGCTATACCGTTTCTGCTTCCGCGTTCGTATTCAAATATAAAAGTAGAAAACAATAGAGGAGCTTTTCGACCGTTTCCGACCGATTTCATCCTTAGTTATAATAGTAATTAATATTTGAAAAGAGAAGGAGGGTGCCATTATATCCCCAACGGATTCCCACCCACCGTATTGAACTTCTCGCTAAAGGAAAAAATATAAATAAAATAAATTACTCGCATCGTCGAGTATGATTTTCTCTTCTTTTCGAATCGTACGTATTTTAATTAAGCTTTGTATGTCTTTCCAGGAAATTACTGTTCGGTTCAGATCCCTAATTTTTTTTTTCCAAAACGACAGAGGAAACTATATTAAGCTCAAAGCGAACATAGTTCGAATACAAGAGTCTACAAATCGAAACAACAAACTGAGAGACACGCAAAAAGCGGTCTAGAACCTCTACAAATCAAAAAAACCAGAGAAAGAAATAAACAGAGCTAAATCCCCGCCACTGCTAAAAGCCTAGCAAGAGATCAAACTCGAACCAAAAACAAAAACAAGAAAAGGAGGAAAGCAAATCAAACAAGAGAATGGGCCTCTAAAAATTCCAACCAATCTGAATGAGCCATCTGAGGGAGTTTATGCTCCGGAATTAAAGACTTCTGAAAAATCCACAAGTTCCTCGACTTCCAAAGCCACCAAAGCATATATATAGTGAGTTGGATCCTAGCTTCAGCAACTTCAGAGTTGTCAAAGGAACAAATATGATACCACCAAGTCTTAAAAGAATCTGTGCAGCATTGTAAACCATCCCAGCTCAAAGGGCTCAATTTCCAGACAGTGACTGCTCCTCTGCAATTAAAAAGGATGTGCTCAACAGTCTCTGCTACTTCCCCACACACAGAGCAAGTAGTATCAATATCCACTCCTCTTTTCTTCAGATGGACAGCCACAGGGAGAGTACCTGTAATGCATTTCCAAAGAAAATGCTTAATCTTTGTTGCTATTCTCAATTTCCAGAGCCTTAACTTAGTGGCTTTTTTTATCTCCTTGTTACTGCTACATTTAGAAAAGTCTGCCATCAAAGTTTTGTTCTTGCAAGGAAATTTATAGGTCCCAGAAATAGAAAACTGCCCTTTCTGGTCAAGCCCCCAGTAAATTCTGTCAGGTCTATGGGGATGAAGGGTAGAAATCTTTAAAATGGCTTGACTGTCAGAGGCATTTAAGACCTGTTGGACTAGCCATTCATTCCAATGGACACCATCACTATGCAGAAGTTCCCTAACCCAAATGAGATGGTCCCTTGCAATGGGAATAATGTTAGGAGCTGGCTTATTCAAGTTAGGAACCCAGTTCAAATCAGTTATTCTAGTGCCAGCCCCATTTCTGACTTCTATCTTAAGCCATTTAGCAAACAAAGGCATCATGTCCATCCAACAATTCCACATCAAAGAACCACCCTGTGTTTTAGAGGCATGCACAATAGAAGAGTGGGGAAAGTACCTGTCCTTAAGTAATTTACTAACAAGAAGATCAGGGTAGGCAGCTATCCTCCACAATTGCTTGCAGATCATGGCTTTGTTGAAAAGCTGCAAGTCAAGAAACCCCAGTCCATCATTTTCTTTGGGAAGAGTAAGAAAGCTCCATTTCTTCCAGTGGATTCCTCTTGCCTGCTCTGAATTAGAGTGCCACCAGAACTGAGCACATAGTTTAGCAATTTCAGTACAGATAGATACTGGCAAGGAGAAACAAGACATAGTGGAAATGGGAAGGGCTTGGATAACAGCTTTAACTAGAACCTCCTTCCCTGCAGTGCTAAGAAACTTTGTCTTCCAGTTGGTAAGCTTCTTCCTTACTGAAATCAGAAGATACTCAAAAACTTCCTTCTTGGACTTGCCAATCCCCAGTGGTAGACCAAGATATTTGGTTGATCTATAAGATGTAATTCCATTCATTGCTCCACAGATGGCAGTCTGAATATGCTGAGGGGTATTCTTGCTGAAGAATATAGCAGATTTTTGCCGATTGACAGTTTGACCTGTAAACAACCTGTATTGCTCTAATATGTTCATGAGAATGCCTGCTTGATCAATACCAGCTCTACAGAAGAAAAGAGAGTCGTCTGCAAATAAGAGGTGTGAAAGCAATGGCCCATTTCTAGACAATTTCATCCCTTTCAGTATGCCATTGTCAATAGAGTTTAAGATGAGAGTTGTGAGCAATTCTGCTACAATGATAAACAAATAGGGGGACAAGGGGTCCCCCTGTCTTATACCTCGAGTTGGAGAAACAAAGCCACTAGTAGAGCCATTAACTTTGAATGAAAATGAGGCAGTAGAGATGCAGACCATAATGAGCTTGACAATATCAGAATGAAAACCCATTTGGTGCATGATCTTTTTCAAACAAATCCATTCAACACGATCAAATGCTTTCACCAAATCTAATTTCAAAGCCATAAAGAAGTTAGGGCCAGATGAATGTCTGTTTCAAAAGTGGAAAGCCTCCTGAGCTATGATTACATTATCAGTTAATAGTCTGCCCTCTATGAATGCTGCCTGATAATCACTAATGCAGGAACTGAGACAACCTTTCAGCCTTAGAGCTAGCACTTTGGAGATAATTTTATAAACAACACAGCAGAGGCTAATTGTCCTGTAGTGGCTCAAAGTATCAGCGTTATCACATTTGGGGATTAAAGATACCACTGTATGGTTCCCGTACTTGAGAATCATACCTGAATGAAAGAAACTAGTCACAACACTCATAAGGTCAGGTTTGATCAGATCCCAAAAATGTTGGTAGAATCTGGCAGTCATGCCATCTTCACCCAGAGAATTATCTGGTGGAAGGCTGAATAGTGCACACTTGACTTCCTCCTCTTCCACTTGTTTGAGCAAAGGTTGATTCATATCCTCAGTAATGCAAGGTGAAATGTGAGGGAGAAGAGAATCTCCCCCCAGCTGCCTTCTGAGGTGAAGAGGGATTTGTAAAAGTCAGAGATGTGCTTAGCAATGTCCTCTTGAGATGTAAACACATTGCCCTGAGCAGAGACAAGTCTTGTTATGGAATTAAGCTTTCTCCTTTGAAGTGTATAGGCATGAAAAAAACGAGTGTTTGCATCCCCCTCTCTCAGCCACTTGTGTTTTGCCTTTTGCTGCCAATAAACTTCTTCTTGAGAATGAACCTTATTAAGATCCCTTCGAGTTTTGATCCATTCATCCCAATTATCTTTAGTTTTGTCTGCATTGATTGTCTCCAGCTTGTGGGTGAGCTCAGCCATAAGCCTCCGATGTTGTGACTGGAAAGAAGAACTCCAAATAAGTAAGGCTATCCTGGTGAATTTTAACTTTTTTCTTCAGCTTAAAGAAAGAAGTGCCATCCACTGGTGTGATCCAAGCTTTTTCCACAACATCACTGAAGCCTTCTTTACTGATCCATCTTTTGTCAAAGTGGAAGGAGGATTTCCTTCTCTGTCTTGGCATCCCCAAATCAAGAAGCAGAGCAGAGTGGTCTGAGGAGCTCCTGATAACATTGTGGACAGTTGCATTAGGAAAGAGTTGAGACCAGCCTAAGGATCCAAAGGCTCTATCAAGTTTTTCTTCAACAAGGTCAGAAACAGCTCGGTTGTTACACCAAGTGAAGGGGTAGCCCTCAAATTTGATTTCTGACATTTCCATTGCATTAATGAAGTTTTGGAAACCTTGGAAGCTGTGTTCCCTTCTAGTGATACCTCATGTCTTGTCAGAAAGAGCAAGCAGATCATTCCAATCACCAAGAGAGAACCAGTTGTGACCCCATGACTGCTTGTCCACAATCATGTCATCCCATTGTTTCTCTCTGAGTAATCTACAGAGACTAAAGTAAACAAAAACTCCCCATTGGGGTACATCTGAATTGATTTGAAAATTAACAGCTATATAGAAGTCTTTAAACTGAATATTAAGAACAGAGACATTAGGAGCCCAACACAAAACCAGTCCACCACTGAGCCCAACAGGGTCAACAACAATCATCATATTATCAAAACGTAATTTATTACAAACAGATTTAACAAATGCATTTTGTGTTTTTTTGTTTCAGACAGGAACAGAAAATTTGGGTGGTGAGTTCTTAATAACTCTCAGATTTGGGAAATTGTAGAGGGCCCACCCAGCCCTCTACAATTCCACACGATATCTAACATTGATTAGGGTGGTGCCACTCAAGGCTGGCAACCCCCACCCTTTCAGATTTTGCTTTGAGTTTTTTAGCTTGAACCTGGTAGATATCAGCAGCTTCATTTGTTGCTTCTTCTGAAGTGAAATCTTCTTTGACCCTTTTTCCCTTCAATAGCTGATCAATGATTAAAGGCGGCTCAGAAGTTCTTTGCAATCTACCTTTACTGTTGTCTGCCCTCTTCCATGTTTTGAGAGAAAGAGCTTTGGAGCCTTTTTGGTGTTCTTGCAGAAATAAAGTATTGGGGACAGAGGCTTCCTTCTCTATATCCATCACTGAGGATCCACTATCTGAAGGTTGTTTTCCACTAAGCCTTCTTCAGTAATGGGAGCTTGGATAGCAGAGACAAGGGATGGGGTAGCCACAGACTTAGCCGGAGATAGGGTATCCCCTTGACTCTGGATAAGATGATGACTACTGGTGGGAAGGCTTGATGAAAAATCTTGTGATGTAGTTTTCTCAGCCATGGATGGTGATTCCCTTGGAGGAGAAGATCCTGAGCCAGAAACATTTCCAGGAGACCATCTTTG